TTGAGCGGTCCATTGCTCTTCACTGACTTTTCTGAGGCTCTGTTGACAGTTCCCAAAGCCTTTCTGGGAGCTTTAGGTAAGGCTGGTGGAGCATCAAACATTTTGCCAACATGCGTTGTTGAAACCTGAGATCTCCCATCTAAAGCTTTGACAGCTTTAAAAAAAAAAAGCACTATAAGATTATTTGGGCAATACACACCTGTGCAACTTGAAAGCTGACTTCTAATTCTCACCGCAAACTCAACCCCCACTTTCGACCATGGCATGGCAATTGTCAATCTCATTCAAATATTGAACATGCAAAAGACTCATAACAGGCACGTTGTAATAGCAGTAGAGGTACACCTCAGAGATACTGCAGGTTCAGTTGCAGACCAAAGCAAGTACAAAGCGAGTCACAATCTTTCTGCTACTTGGTCTTGCCCTTAATTCGTAAAAAAAAGCAACATCTGCGAAGTGCAATAAAAGGAGGTATGCCTGTATTCGGCAAACTTGACTCTAACTACCTACGGAAAGTACACTAAATGCCTCCCTAGACTCCAGGGCACATCCGCAATTGATCCAAAATACCTGTGTACCTGATTGCAGCCTGTATACTTACAAGGCCGGGACCCCAGCTTCAGCCGGTCCTTAGGAGTAACACGGGTGCCCGGTTCTCCGTTTTCCTTATCCACAAAGATCACAGTAGCCATTCTGATTTAACTAGGATGTAAAAGAAATATTAGAACCTGGGGGTTGGGAAAGACCACAGAATCTAAGGTGTAGCACAAACCGAACTTTACATTAAGCAGAGAGAAGCCCGAGCTTGTGCCAACGGGCACTTAATCCAGCTCTTAACTTTTGAAGGATGCGTCAAACGCTAAATTCCAGAAGAGTTGGCAGTTTGCAGCCGGCAAGAGACACGGGTACTCATCAGAACCAAACGGTCGGGGGTCGCGACGGACTCGGCCCTACAGACGACTCGGAAAGCCCACGACCGGGCACGCGGTCCTTGCCCCACCTCCTCCAAATCCCCTGACCCTGACCCACCCCCCACCCCGAGTCCCGGGCCCTCGGCGCCGCGCCCCACATTCCCGGCCGCCACACGCAACCCCCAGGTACCGGCTCCCAGTCCCGGGTCTTCTGCCCCCAGCCCTCAAACGCTTTTTTCCTCGCCACAACCCCGCCTACCACACAGCCACTCGCAGCTTCTCGAGTCACCCACTTTAGGATCAGCAACCAAATTACCCACGGCTCAGCCTCCTGCTGTCGCGCTCCGCCCGGCCCGGCGTTTGAACGATAACTCACATTCCTATTGGCTCATCTGCCCAAGGGGCGGGACCGGAATGGGAGGGAGGTTCCCCCGAAAGAACCAATGGGAGGAACCTAAACCCCTTGGGTTCCGCCCCTAAAGCTTTTTCCCCCAGAGCTATATAATCTAGGGCCTAGATTATAGCTTGTTTCTTGAGAAGAAAAAAAACAATCAAACCTCCTGACACCTTAAAAATTAACTTTCAGGGCCTTTTTAACTTGCTCCCCACACAGGTAGAAGAGAAGTGAATATGGTCTATAATTACAAATAATTGTGATGATGATTATGATATCGGGATACAGTTTTGTTGTTTCCTATGACACCTTAGGGTCCAAGACGTTCTTAAATGAAATGATTGTGAGGTTCAAAAAGTAATTGGCAACAGAACTGTTTTCCTAAAGTCTTCGACTGATCAACTCTTCGTCCAGAGAGTAAACAGACCAGATGAAATAAAAACGAAGAGGCATCCTGGACTACCATGCCTTTACGGCCCCACCTGAAGACTACCCACCTTTACGGCATGATAGTCTTCAGGAAAATTACTGAGGAAAAATGGATACATTACAGCTGAAAAAATACACAGTCAGGTGGGGGGAATGACCATATTAGGTTTAAAGGACACCAGCAGAGCAGAATGAAAAACTAAGAAAAAAATGTAAGTGCAGGTAGATCAAACATCAATATTTGAGTCATTCTATTATGATCGTAATTAAGAATAGACAGATTAGCCCCTAACTGAAGGCCTTTCCTCAACATTTCAGGCTAGGATGCTGTTTCTAGTGTGGCAACAGGAATCTGTATCTTAGGATCAAGATGATGATCCTAATGAATACATAATTCGGGCTTCCTTAAAAAGTCTATCATTTAATAGGGACTGGCACAGACATGGTCCTCAAAATATGGAAGCTCACTGACCCTTCCTCCCTGGTATTTCAGGACCAAAGTTAATTGAATGATTTATTCAGCAAACAATTACTGAATGCTGCTTAATGCATCTAGAAGAAAGGATCCTAACTCAAGACAGTGAAGAAAAGAGAACAAAATAACCATGCATATCTTTATTACCTCTTCCCTGTCCTTTTTCTTTTAATTCCTACCCTTCCCCTTATTTTTTCCTTGTATTACCTTCTACATGCCTTAGCTCCATATTATATCATCGGCACACAAAAGTGTTCATTTTTTAAACCAAAACTGTACAACATCTACAACTTCCAAGTGGGGATCTTCTACCTCCTAAGGTTTGGGGCTGCAAGGTTTATACCGCCCTAGGGGTACATCTTCCCTTTACAACAGGAAGCACTGTCCCCCAAGGTCATTCAGTAACTGAAAATGCCATAATTACCTCCTCTTTGAATGACCACGGTTTTCTTATTAATGATGCTTCAGACCTACTTTGTTCTTCCAAACAATTAGTGGGATACCCAATTGTTACCCTACCCTCCCTTCACAAGGGCACACAGATCCTAATCAACCCCAATGTATCCTAGTCCCGATTTACAAACAGCGACCCACCCAGAACTGCTTCCTTAAATCCTCCTCAAAATTAATCCTCCGGGGAGGAACCCAAACCTTACAAAAGATTCTTCCCTCTTGCCCAGCACATTCTATGAATCCTCTGGGAGAGGAACTCTCTGGCTGGTGCCATGCGGTTTGAACTTAATACACCTCAGCACTTCCAAGCAAATTTCAGTAATTGTTTTAAGATGATAAAAACCAAGTGCAGGTTTTTATTCATAGACTACTCCCTTTCAGGCTATTATTCTCTGACACTTTATTCCTTTATTTATTGCCCTGTAGAATCAAAATTAATATTTACATTCCTAAACTCTAGGCACTGAAAATTCTTTTTTAAAGATTTTATTTATTTATTTTTAGAGCAGAAAGAAAGGAGAGAGGAAGAGAAATATCAATGTATGGTTGCCTCTCGTGGGTCCCCTGCTGGGAACTGGCCTGCAACCCAGGCATGTGCCCTGACTGGGAATCGAACCGCGGTTGTTTGGTTCGCAGGCCTGCACTCAATCCACTGAGCTACACCAGCAGCCAGGGCTGCAAGGTCTTGATAAGAAAAAAATAGATGATATTAAAATGGGCTATCTTATTGAGGCAAAAATGTTAGCTATTTTCACTTTTATGTCTTAAAAGGAATACATGTTATTTTGATACTTTTTTTAAATAACCAGAATAGGTGGAACTAAAAATGAAAATTCCGCTGAGTTAAATGTGAAGATCTAACTGGCTTTATTTAAGGATTCATGAATCAGGCTGCATCCCACCTAACAACTACACCAGCGTTCAAAAGGCTTATATAGGAAGAAGGATGAGGCGAGGGACATATTGACAAAAGAGAAAAAAGAATTATTTGGGGGCCAGGACATCTTTTGCAGGAGTTGCTGGAGGAAGAAGGGGAAGGTATTTATCAAGCAGATATATTCTTCTTTCCATGGGGTAACAGATGAAAAGTGGCCATGTGACAGGTAACCACACTGGGACTTGAGAAAGTGTGTCTAAGCTGCTGCTGGAACTTGATCAGTAACCAAGGCAACACAGTAAATTCCTCACCAAGACTCCCCTAGGACTAGCCACATATATTTCCCAATAGCTCTAATTAAAAAGATAAACGATTATAGAAGGCAGTCAGCGCCTGTTTTTTCTACATCCTAAAAATGTGTAAAAATAATTGCTTTGAGAACCCTTCCCATGACTCGGGATCCAGGTGCTTGATGACCCTGCCTTAGCTGTATATTCTCTCCACCTGATGTAAACCTACTAATCTTTGAATACACGTAACTAAAACAGCTGATGCACGGCTGTATTTTTCCTTGCCCTCCTGCTTATATAAACATCCCTAAACTCTGCTCTCACACAATGTCTTCAGATGGGTCCAAATAAATCTTTTTTCTTAAATTAACAAAGGTGCTAGTCCTCTTTCCTTGATATGCTTGATTAGAAAATTCCAGACTGGGTAATTCAATTATATTTCTGGGATTGGTTGCAACTGTAGTAAAAACCAGGTTGGAGGTAGACGGCAGCAAACAAGGTTGGAGGAGGCAGAGTTGTAGGTGAGAAAGGTGAAGCTGGAGAGTCCCGGAAAATGGGCCGCAAGTTTCTCATTCTTAGGTACAACCACAGAGGCGAAATGAACGCCAGGTTGAGGAGGAAACGGGGAACGGGTACCTTGAAGGAAGCCGCCATCCTAAGTTTCAGATATCGTACTTAGGCCAAGACAGGCCAGAACTCTGTCGTCAGTAGTTTTCAAAGTAAAAAGTATGTCACTGGAGCAGCTCTACCCAGCATGATAGGTATTAGCTGCTTGTGGCTATTAAGCACTTGAAATGTGGCAAGTCTGAGTACGTGTGATATCCATATCAGACTTTAAAGACTTAGTTTACTTTTTTCTTATGGCGAATTAATATCCTGAATATATTGGGTTAGATAAAATATTGCAAAAGTAATCTTACCTGTTTCTATTGTCATAATATGGCTACTGTAATATTTTAAATGACACCTACGGCTGGCATTATGTTTCTCTTGGACGACGTTGCTTTGGAGGTTTTTAAGGTTGGGTGGTGGGACGTGACATCGACAAATTTGGGGTTTACACAGTACTAACTTGAGAAAGTCAGAGAAGTAGCAAAACCTCGAAATCTCGCGAGACTAACGTTTCGGGATCTTGGGACCCAAAGAGTTGTTAGTGCGCATGTGTCCCGCGGTGGCTGCCGGAAAGCACTGAATACAGGAAGTAAACATCGATTTACTGGCTTTGTTTCCGTCCGTCCAGTGGCTTTGGGGTCCAGTGCGACAGGACTGGGTGAGGAATTATTCTGAGAACTTGGGTGGGGAGAGTAGTGAGGCGAGCGAGAGCGCGGATGGTGCGAAAGGTGGGGGGAGGTGAGGGAGATGGGACAGTGCAGAGGCGGTGGCGCCGGCGGGTCGTGTACAAGGAGAGGAAGGTTAAGCTCGAGAACCCTGGAAAAATAGGCCGGACTTCTAATTCTTAAGATACATCGTCAGGGGGAATGAGGAGCACCAGGTTGAGGAGGGAACAGGGAACGAGCACCGAGAAGGAATCCGCAGTCTAAACTTTACACATGGTATTGTACTTCGGCCTAGTCAAACCAGGACTGTGTCTTTAGTGGTTTTTAAAGTGAAAATTATGTCATTGGAGCTCCACTGCCCAATGTGATAGCTGTTATTACTTGTGTCTCTTAAGCACTTAAAAGGTGGCTAGTCTAAGCAAGTGTAACATCACTATCAGATTTTTTAAGTTTTTTTTTTTATGGCGACATGATAAGCTGGAAATACTGGGTTAAAGTACTGCAAAAGTAATTTTACCTGTTTCTTTGTATTGTCGGAATATGACTGCTGGAATATTTAACATGGCATGTAGTTGGAAAAAGGAGTAATACCAAGGCAATAGCATTGAAAAGAGGATTAGATGAATATGAATGGTATTCAGAAGGTGCACATAATTTTTAGTGATGAGATAGATGTGGGGGTTAGCTGGAACACGTAGGTAAAGGGATGAATGATGGTGTTTTTCATTAAGAGAGGAAACTGGAAGGAGAGTAGATTTTGTAGAGGAGAGCATGAGTTCAAATTAAAATTTGTTGAGGTTAGGTGTCTCTGAGGCATGTAAGTGGAGATGCTGTGAAGTAAGCAGTGGTATGTGTATCAGACGCTCAGATCAAAGGTCTGGAATAGAGAAATAAATTTGAGCCCACAGTGGTGTATTGTGGCTACTAAAGTCGTGGAAATGGATGAGCTTGTCCTACTAGTGGTGTTCAGGGTGATGAAAGAGGCTATAGGACTGAGCCGTGCAGAATCCAAAATTAACTAACTAGGCAGAAATGGATAAATCAGCAAGGGAGACAAGAGGAGCAGTGAGAGGAGTACAAGAAAAACCGGAAGAATACAGGGTCCCCTAAGCCAAGGGATAAGAATATAGCACAGAGAGAGGGAACAGTACTGAAAAGAATGTCCACTGATAACTTCGTGGTAACTTTTCACAGCGGTCAGGGTTGGAAGCTAAATTAGAGATTAAAGAGGGAAGTAGCGGATGATCAAATAGAGGTAATAAATATAGATAACTCTTAAGGCATTCAGTCTTTAAGGGTAACACAGATTAGACCCTGTTTACTCATTAAGGGTCAGTGTGGTAGGAAAGTTTAACATTTACATACAAAGGAATTTGGAAACGTGTATGAGAGAATCTTAAGAAATTTTAAACACATATGTATATCTCTTCATTTGTAAATTAGAATTGAGGGAGTAACTACAATAGTGGAGACTTTTATTTAGGAGAAAGAGAACTGTTCCTCACAGATACTATGAAAGAATAGGAACATATGAGACAGTATTTGTTACCCACAGTATGTGTCATTAGAAGGTAATTTTGATAGATGAACTTGTGAAGGCCTATTTACACTAATACAGATTTCTTCCTTTTCACAGAGGAAGCCAGATAACAATGTCGGCTACCGCTGTGGATACAGCTAATGCTGCCCCCCTGTCGGGGTCCAAAGAAATGAGTTTGGAGGAACCAAAGAAGATGACCAGAGAGGACTGGAGAAAGAAGAAGGAGCTAGAAGAACAGCGAAAACTGGGTAATGCTCCTGCAGAAGTTGATGAAGAAGGAAAGTAAGTAATTTTTTGCACTATCTGTTCATTCAAAATTCAGATTCATGTCTCCTTTATCAATTCCTCATTCGTTGACAGGAAGTTATCTTTACATTTATATCATGTTTGTTTTATGAAGCTCATATGTGTACGGTTTAGTAATCAAATAATGTTGAAGGACTTACGGTGAACCCTATAGTCCCTTTCAACCCTTCCTACTCCCCGTCCCACTACAGGAGTTGACTACTTATAAATCTTTGTATTTTTTAATTTTTCTCGCTGTTACCTCCACGTGTCTAAATAATACACTTAATCCATTATTTTCATCAACTCGAAGACATTACTGTTTACCCCTTGGTCTGATACATGATTTATCTCATTAAAATACATCTCTCTTTCTCCTTCAGTTATATCACTATTCTTAGTTTCTTTGTGGACAATTTTCTCACTCCACTTTAAATAATTTTTTTTCTTAAAATTATATTATGGAGATATCAAGCATATCCTCTCCTCTCCCAACTGCAGTATCTCTATTCTGAGATTCTGTTTAGGCTACCTTTAGTAATTGTAATATCAATTACTCTTTAAACTTTATTCTTAAAAAACATTTTTCATTTTATTACAGAGACATCAACCCTCATATTCCTCAGTATATTTCTTCGGTACCATGGTATATTGATCCATCCAAAAGACCTACTTTAAAGCATCAGAGACCACAGCCCGAAAAACAGAGGCAGTACAGCTCATCTGGAGAGTGGTACAAGAGGGGCGTGAAGGAGGTGTGTAGGCACCCTGTACCTAGCCGTGTGTAAATGGAGATTTTACTTTAAAAACTTTACTTAATGTAATGACCTTGAATACAATACTATGTAAAGGAGAAGTGGATTACATAACTTTTTATCTGGTATTAAAATTCGCAATCCACGTAACATTACCTCCTGTGTTTCGTTTTATAAATTTTATATTGCTGAAGTCCTTAAGCTTTCTCATTTATAAAAGTGTAGAGACTCTCACTGGTTATCCTTTTAACTAATAAATCATTGTGTTAATATAATGAGAGTCAATATTATTTCCAACGTACTCAGATAAATAAAACATTTTCTTTGTATTCACGCACAGAATTCCATAGCTACTAAGTACCGCAAAGGAGCGTGTGAAAATTGCGGGGCCATGACACACAAAAAGAAGGACTGCTTCGAGGTACGTGCCCCTTCGAGAGTTGAGGAAACTGGTCACCACCCTTCCTTCTTCACGCCTTGCCAGGGCACTTTATTCTTTTTTCTGAAATTACCCATTCTTAGCTACCAGTTAAACAAAAATTAGTTCGCATGAAAGTAATCTTAATTCAGCATCTTTAAATTTTTCTTCTGGAAGACTAACTGGTAAATCTGTAAAAGAGACTGTAAAGTCCCACGGTATGTCCATACCTGCTCTATAAACATCCTACGAGATTTTCCTCTGGGCTGCAGGTACCCAGGGAAAGGTTCAGTCTTACCCTGTTTTCCAGAGACCTAGGCGCGTTGGAGCGAAGTTTACAGGGGTTAATATAGCTCCAGACGAACACATGCAGCCTCAGCTGACGTTTGACTACGACGGGAAGAGGGATCGGTGGAATGGCTACAATCCGGAAGAACACATGAAAATTGTAGAAGAATATGCCAAAGTAGATCTGGTGAGCAAAATTCCTGCGTTCCTGGTGTTCTTAACGAATGTACAGTTGGTGCTGTGTCTAATTTAGCAACTCTTATTTTTTGAGTCTTCAAGGAGTTTTAAAATGGTGGCATTTTTATGTAAGCCTAATTAAATAATAAGCATACACTGAGGCAGCAATTTCTTCGTATTTGATTCTCACGTTGTCCTTTACTCCCTGACTTAGGTTGCAGAAAATTTTGGAAGTGCGAGAACAGATTATAGTGTCCAAAGTTTTTGGCTTCTTAAGGTTATAAAGTCAGTTCCCAGACTGTATGTTGCCCATGGGCTTACTTTACAGTCGTCTCAGAGCACTTGAGGGCGGTGGAAGGGGGCCAGGCAGCTCGTTTCGGAAAACCGAGTTTTACTTTAATTCAGCCTCAGTTTTTGTCTGTTACGTTTTCACCTGCTCACCCCTATTTAAAACCATAGTCACACTGCTTTTTTATTTCTCTAAGCGGGAGTTAACATTGAAAAATAATGAGATTTTACATAATCTAAATTTTATCTTCTTGTGAACAGTGAAATATATGGTAATACTGGGCCTGCCTGACAGGAATCAGTCATCTGGAGTCAGGTGGCCGCCGTTTTAGACAGGCTTGCTCTCTGCACTTCACCTCAGGTCCTCTCTGGCTCAGCTTCCATTCACGCCTGGTACAAACAGGAGTTTGTAACTGCTGTTCCTTAGAGAGCATAGGTCTAGAGCTCCAGGAAATTGCAGAGAGATGACCTTGTCCACCGACCTTTTCTGAAAACAATAGACTTATTCCTCTTAAATGTATTAGAAAAATTAACTGTTCATTTGAATATTGTAAGTAAATTGCAGATGTTTTGTTTTGTTTTTTGGTTAGGCAAAACGAACGCTGAAAGCCCAGAAACTCCAAGAAGAATTAGCCTCTGGAAAATTAGTGGAACAGGCCGTAAGTAATAAAAATGATTAATAAAAAAGTTTCATATCTTAGTAAGTGAAAATTGAAACGAGAATTTATTTTATGTATCTTCTGCTATTGAGAAGAATAAAACTGACACTTTTATAGTATTCAGGCAAATATAAATTAATGTAATCATTTTGGAAAGAATATTGCCATAAAATACTTGTATACCTTTTCTGGAATTAAATTAGCAGATTCTCCATGCTAAAGAATTTTCTAGTACTCGTAAAAATTATTGTACACAAAGGTGTTCATCATAGAATGTTTTTCATTAGCAAGAAATGGAAATGGTTTAAATTTCTGGAGAGGCGATTGGTGAAGTAAGCTGTCCTGCAAGCCAACATTTTAGCACATCAATTTTAGCACTAAAGTTAACAGCACAGCTAACAGAGGCTAGAATCCAGCTCTGCCTCCTGTCTAACCAGGTGGTCCTAGAAGAATTAATTTGCCTCTCTGAGCCTCCGTTTATCAACCCTAAAGTAGGCTACCCCCTAGGGAGTCTAGGGGCTTAGCATACATATCACATAGTAAACATTTGGTATTAGTAGCTATTGTGATTATTTTTATCAACTTTGGAAAAAGAAAAATGGCCTGTTTCTTTTAATCTAACATATTCTCTGTCATAGAAATAGTATAATTTTCCGAGTAAGCATCAGAGCGTTGATCATTTTTGCCACTTGGGAAGTTTGATGTTCAGGTTAACTACATGTGGCAGAGCAGTCTCCGTCACAGAGATGCAGCTGTCTGTGTAGCAATACGAATGTCCTTTGTCGACCTAGCAACTTGGGGGGATCCCAGATATTTTTTTAGTATTTCTGAGTTTGAAAGTTATACATATTTAGTGAAATAAAAAGTTAAAAGCATATATATTCCCTTTGTTAACTACTAACATTTCAAAGTAGGTCTTTCTAGGTCCCACGCCACATCCCCCACACACGTGTTATATATGTGTGTAACTATAATAACACGTTTTTTATGTGGATTTATCTTTACATACTCATGTATCACCTGCTCCTTCAATGAAACAATATATAGTTCAATGATGACTTGTCTTCTCTGTCGTGTTAAATACAAACTTAGTTACTTTTACATAAATTACATGGTTGAAAGCTTAAAACAATGTAAGATGTGCATCAAAAAAGTCACCTTTCTCCGTCCACCCTGTCTCTACCCCTCATCCCCCCCATAACCTTTTATATTCTTCTTGTGGATTCTTTCAGGGTTTCTTAAGTAAATACATACAAGTAGAAACACAGAGAATGTTGTTTCCCCCTTTTGCCCATCCCCCTTTTTAAAAAGATTTTATTTATTTTTTAGAGAGAAGGAGAAAGGGAGAGAAACATTGATGTGAGAGAGAAACATACATAAATTAGTTCCCTTTTATATGCTCCCAGCTGGGACCTGGCCCCCAACCCAGGCATGTAGACTGACTGGGAATCGAACCAGTGTCCTCTCAGTTCGCAGGCTAGTGCTCAGTCCACTCAGCCGCACCAGCCAGGGCTATCTTAACTTTTTTTTAAATGTTAAATAATAAATAGATTTAGTAGAATAAAATAACAATTTTTTTTCTTCTGTTATGATGCAGAATTCTCCAAAACACCAGTGGGGAGAAGAGGAACCAAATTCTCAAATGGTAATGAATATTTGTCCTATCCGGTTATATGTTAAACTTTTAATTTCTGATGGCTAGTATAATAATATAATTATTACTAATATAATTAGTACTAACAGCTTTAACGAACACAAGTGAATAAGGGTATGGTTAAAGGGAAATGAAAGGAAAATAGCTAAATGCTATTTTGCTTTTTTTACTATTTTTTTCCGTTCCCTTGTTCAGGAAAAAGATCATAATAGCGAAGATGAGGATGAAGATAAATACGCAGATGATATTGACATGCCTGGACAAAACTTTGACTCTAAGAGACGGATTACTGTTCGGAATCTTAGGATTCGTGAAGATATTGCAAAAGTAAGCCTGAACAATTTAATGTACACATTTAAAAAATAATTTGTCATCCCAGCCTAAAATGTACCTATTCTTCTAATATCTGGGCATTATACGAGTAATGTAGTCAATCATTCCAAAGTTAGGTATCGTTCTGTTTTTTCCTCCATCTGTGCCCCAGAATGCATTCACACACAGAATTGATTGTGACCAACTTCTAGTCTGCTGAAATTTTTTTGTTGGAAGTAAACAGTAATAGAGTTTTTAAATATTTTTCTCTTCTAGTATTTGCGGAATTTAGATCCAAATTCTGCTTACTATGACCCCAAAACGAGAGCAATGAGGGAGAATCCCTATGCCAATGCAGGGAAAAATCCGGATGAGTAAGTACATTTACAAGTAGTCAAGTTAAATGTACAGATTTCAAGATGGAGGGGTGAGGGGGTTTGCTTTTAATTATAAAATTGAATCTACATTAAAACGAATATCATCTGAGGTTGAGTCAAAGAATTTTCTTAAATCAATCTCTGAAATAGTTTTTTTTCTTAAATTTGTATTTGCAGAGTGAGCTATGCGGGAGATAACTTTGTTAGATACACAGGCGATACCATTTCGATGGCTCAGACGCAGTGTAAGTATTTGCTGTATTGTCAAGGCATTCCATACCAGCTCATAAGACATTTGGGGCATTTAAAACACCATGTAGCTGACAACTTACTGCTTTGAATTGCCCTAGTGTTTGCATGGGAAGCCTATGACAAGGGATCCGAAGTGCATCTGCAGGCCGATCCTACCAAACTGGAACTGCTGTATAAGTCCTTCAAAGTCAAAAAAGAAGACTTCAAAGAACAGCAGAAAGAGAGCATCCTGGAAAAGGTAATTTTGACAGAAATGCTAAAGAACGTTTCCTAAAGAAAAGGTACTACTTAATAAGCATTCGATCCACATTTGAAAGACTATCCAAAGAGAGTCCCTTTTAATTTACCAGGAATAGTTCTTTTCTTTCCATTGACTTAATCACCTGGCAGACGGTATTAGTATAGCTGTATCCCTGAGCTTTGGTAGCAAACACACCAGCCCAAAACTTCACAGCTTAAAATGAACACCTATTTCTTCTCATTCTGTATTGGTCTGGGCCTGCTCATCTGCGGCTGGGTGGACTTGGATGGCCTCACACTGGTCTCTCAGCAGTTGGCAAGCAGGTTGTCTGAAGAGAGCCTTATCTGAACAGTTCATCTCTGCCCCTCCTGGGCTATCATCCTGAGTAGGCTAGTCTAGCTTCCTTCCTTGGCATTCTCAGGACACCAGAGGTAGAAGCAAAACGTGTGCCCCAGTGCACGAGTGCTTTCCAGGCCTTTGTGTGCATCACATGTGCAGGCTTCCCACAGGCCACAACAATTGGTATGGCCACCCTATATTTAAGGAGTGGAGAAGCAGACTCGGTCCCTTCAGGGCAGCAGCATCAAAGTTGTGGCAAATGAGCGTGTGTGCAGGATAGAGGAACGTGGCCACATCCAGCAGATAAATAGCAACTGAGACAGCTTGTTTTTGTCTGTGAAAATTTGGTGGCATTTGCTTCACTGTGTTTTGCATAACAAGGCCTGTGAAGAATATTCCTTTAATCTTTATGATTGGAAATAAACCCTTCAGTAAGCAGTTGAATGCAAATCTTTATCATAATGTTCAATGTCCTTTTAGTATGGCGGCCAAGAACATTTGGATGCCCCTCCAGCTGAGCTGCTTTTAGCTCAGACAGAAGACTATGTGGAGTATTCGAGACACGGGACAGTCATCAAAGGACAGGAGCGGGCTGTGGCCTGCTCCAAGTACGAGGAGGACGTGAAGATCCACAATCACACGGTATGTGCCGTCCCAGACCTGTTGCGTGTCCTTGTCGGCGTCCTGCTCTGGGCCATATCTGTATGTTACAGCTTCACTACTGAATCCTTCCTGTGCATTTCGGGTTTTGGGTTTTTTTACATTTTAAGTTTGTTTTGTGAATTTTTCCAAAATCAAAAAAAAAAAGTAAAAGAATATTAGTCTGTTCACATGTTGCCATATATGCTTTGACTGAAACACTTGGAAATTACAGATATTATAACACTTCACCCGTGAAAATTATATGTATCTCTTAAAATTAGAGATAGTCTTTTTTCATAGCTTCAGTAGCAATTCAGAAAATTGACATTAGCTCCTTAATATCATGTAATCTCTTGGCCTTATTCACATTTGCCATGATGTACTCCAAAAGGCTTTTAAATAGCTCTTTGGAGGGTTTTTTGTTTGTTTCTTGAGTCACTCCAATCAAAGTTTATTTTGATTGTTATTTGGTCGTTATGTCCCTTTTTTCTAGAGTGTATCTCTCCTTTTTCACGACAGTGACTTAGGCCGATCAGGCCTAACAGATCAGGCCAGTTACCTTGTAGAGTGTTCCATTCTACACTTGACTGGTTTCCAGTCATATAAATAACTTTTCTCTATTCCTTGTAATTCCTGTAAACAGGAATTCACATTTAAAGGCTTTATTAGTTATGTTAGTGTTTGACAAGAACACTTCAAAGGTGATATAGGGTGCTTCATGTTGCATCACGTCATAAAGCATATAATGTCACTTGCTATACTTTTAAAACACCCAAACCACAGTTGTCTCTCTGAGTTAGGTTAAAAATTTAACTACCTGTGGCAGTCGGGCAAGTAAACATACGTGAGTGAAGTGAGCCAGGCACATTGAACAAAGCAAAGAACACAGACCCTGTCTACTAGGAGCATTCAGTGTTCATCAATAGCTAATTCTTGCCAAGCAGGAATGTGGGCCCAGAATGTCATAGTCCTTAATTTTTCAAGAGAAGTCACACATCGTAAGTTTTTAAATATGTCTTAGAAAGAATATAAAACCACTGTACTATAAAGCCTGCTTCTCACACTTGAGGTCAGGACAACCTTTGCTTGTTAACTAGCTCTGGAATCCTTATTGTTTTCCTCCTATGTTACCTTTGAAAGGCTGTATTTTATACTCCTATCAATAGTATATGAGAGTCCCTAGTTCAGGTTCTTTTTTTTTTTTTTAAGGGTGTGTTCTTTTATTATTTTTTAAGATTTTATTTATTTATTTTTAGAGGGCAAGGGAGGGAGAAAGAGTGAGAGAAACATCAATGTGCAATAGATACATTGGTTGCCTCTCACACACCCCCAACCAGGGATCTGGCCCACCGCCCAGGCATGTGCCCTTGCTGGGAATCAAACCAGTGACCTTTCGGATGGCAGGCCAGTGCTCAGTCCACTGAGCCACACCAGCCTGGGCTCAGTTTCCATTTTAAATAACATCTCTTTCTCTTTCTTTCTTTGCAGCATATCTGGGGATCTTATTGGAAAGAAGGCCGATGGGGATACAAATGCTGTCACTCTTTTATCAAGTATTCCTATTGTACTGGAGAAGCTGGGAAAGAGATCATGGTGAGTAATTGTCCTCCAGTTCTCAGAGCTGTGAAGCAGCCAGAGCCTCAAGTCAAAGTCTGTATGAAACATGTATCCTCATGCTTCACATTTTAACTTTTTTGCATAATTGGTAACTATGATAGTTAAGCCCAGTTGCATATATTTTCTTGCAGAATTCAGAGGAATGTATTGTAAATGACGTAGCTGGAGAAGAATCTGTGAAAAAACCCCAAACCCTCGTGGAGGTAAGTCCTGAAGTTTCAAACACCTGAAAGAGGACTTTAAAACTTCCACTAAAGCTTTGTTTTTGCTTAATAATGCTATGTTTTAATCCTCTCTGTCAGATGCATCAGGAAAAACTAAAAGAGGACAAAAAGAAGAAAAAGAAGAAGAGGAAGAAGCATCGAAAGAGCAGTTCAGATAGCGATGATGATGAAGAAAAGAAACATGAAAAACTGAAAAAGGTACTTTGTGCAGTGTAAATAATGAAAATGACCACAGGTATTCTGTATTGGTGAAGGACCTTAGGAAATAAATTATCTAGTACCATGTCCAAGCTCAATTTAAAAATGAAATGAGTTCCCGTTCTGGGTAGTTCGCTCATGTCACCTCGTGAGCGGAGATTCTGTGTGCCTTGGTATTGCCTCCTTCGTCAAATACTTGACAAATATCACTAGTGTACAGGCAAAACATGCTTTGTAAAAGCTGTGATTTTAGCATGATTGACATGTTTCCCAGAAAGAATTGCCTTCTAGTTCAATAATCTGTAAGTTTCAAGTCCTTGGAAAATTTCAGAATTAACAGTCTCCACCAGGAGCATCACATGTGGGCTTCTGTGAGTAAAATGAACATCATTCAATTTTTGCTATTAAGTAAAAAAAAGTGGTTTTTTTTTACATTAAAAACCCTTTATTTTACTAGAGCAGTTTAAGTCCAAGCAAAATTGAGAGAAGGGTACAACTATTCTCTATAATACCTCGTTTATAGCTTTCCATCTTATCAACACCCCCACATTGTGGTACATTTTTAAAACTGATGAACCTGCATTGATGCATCATAATCACCCAACATCTAGTTCACTCTTGTTTTTCTAATTTTTTATTTAATTTATCGGGGTGACATTGGTTAATAAAATTATATAGGTTTCAAGTGTACGATTCTATAATACATTATCTGTATATCGTATTGTGTGGTAGCTATCCAAAGTCAGGTCTAATTTTGTTACCATTTATCCCCCCTTCTACCCTTTTTAGTAAAAATTCTTTAACATTGAAAATATCGTAGAACGATTTGGGCCCTACGATGATAATCATAGGAGCCAAATAGTGATTAGTTGCAGCTTGATAGTGGAAGGGCTGACTCCCAAGCTCTTTCAGGTAATCTGGGGATGGGGTGAGGGTGGTTGTTTTGTTTGGTTTTGTAAGATTTTGTTTATTTATTTTTAGGGAGAGGGGAAGGGAAGGAGAAAGAAAGGGAGAGAAACATCAATGTGTGGTTGCCTCTTTCACGCCCCCAAATGGGGACCTGGCCCTCAACCCAAGCATGTGCCCTGACTGGGAATCAAACTGGCGACCCCTTGGTTCCCAGGCTGGCACTGAGCCACACCAGCCAGGGCATAATCTAGGTTTTTGATGCAGCAGTTTATATTCAGTGGAGTCTTGTGGTATTCCGCCACTTTGGAACCAAAGGAGCTGGTGGAGAGCCATGGCGCTCATGCGTTTCCTCTCACTATAGGCACTGAATGCAGAGGAGGCCCGCCTTCTTCATGTCAAGGAGCTCATGCAGGTCGATGAGAGGAAGCGGCCTTACAACAGCATCTATGAAACTCGGGAACCCACGGAGGAGGAGATGGAGGCCTATAGAATGAAGCGGCAGAGGCCAGATGACCCCATGGCCTCTTTCCTTGGGCAGTAAACTCGCCACAGACGGTCACCTGTGATAAACGCAGCCGATGACTGTAGATGGAAAAGTCAGTGTCTGCTCATCTTGCTGCCTGACTTTAATAAAGCTCCCAGAAGTCCTATGGTAAATGTATTCCTTTCCACACTGAAGAAACAGAAGAAGACCAAGGAAGTGGCACATTAAGTGCAGATTAAGACTGTAGTTCCAATTTTATGTTAGTGATACAGAAAGAGGCCTCGGTTCACTTGCCCCTGTACTACCTCTCACACACGTGCTCTCTCTCTCTCAAGACTGTCTTCATCTCAACAGTTAAGTCTTAACCTTTATTTCTTCAATGTTTATGGCACTTTATCTAGAGTTTGCACACATTTTAAAGGCAGATTACTCTTCCTCAAAACTAGAATCATTTTTTTTATTTTTCACTTTGACTCTTTTTTAATCCTCACCCGAGGATATGTTTATTGACTTTAGAGTGGGAGAGAGAGAGAAACACGGATGTGAGAGAGAAGCAGTGATTCGTTGCCCACCCCGCAGGCACCCGCAGCCTAGGTCTGTGCCCTGACCAGGAATTGAACCTGAAGCCTGTTGGTGTTTCGGTTGACGCTTCAACCAGCTGAGGCACCTGGCCAGGCTGGGCTTCATTTTTTAAGATTAGTAGTAACTATACTGTAGCTAGTTAGTTTATAGTCATTTGTCGTTGCCTCCTAAGGTTTTCCTGGTCTGCAGCTAAAATAATTCAGTCTGAAAGGAAATTTATAGAAGATGTGAATAACTTTATCCCCTATGGTAATAATTCTGTTTTTCACTTGTTAATATGCTTTTGATTTGTAAAATATTGGCTTGTGTCTTACACCCACAACTAAATGTGTTAGCCTTTGGATGGAAAAAGAACTCTCTTTTCCATTCGTGAATCAGAGGTGAGTAGGTCCTTTACCATTCTGGAGATGAGCCTATGGACAGAAACCCTTTCCTGTGCCATAGAGGCTATAGTTTTTGATAACTATTTTTTTGTTTTAATTGTGATTGCTTCTATGTAACAATCATGAATATGAAATTTGACTTTAAAAGCTTATAAAATTCCCTTGTACCTAGCCTTTGTATCCAGCAGGTGTCACTTCATAAAATTTGCAAAAGCAAAACCTGAGGTTGAAGGTTTCTTAAAAGAACTATGAGGATAGCTTGTAGGGCTACTAGATTGCCATGATCCTCAGGCTTCTTCTAAGGACATTGTGAAAATAATACTGACAGTGAGACCGGGTCCATGAAAAAAAACAAGTTTCAAACCTTCGACATGAGTACATTGACTTTTAACAGCTCATTGGATTTTCTCAGCTACCAAAATCCACTAAGATACTGCATTATGTTAGTATCTCAGAAATAATTCTGGTGCTCCCGATGGCAGCACATACACAGAAGTAATTCTGCTGAGAGAGGAGCTGAACCTAATTGTCAAATTCTGTGGATATCCACGTGGTATCCAGACTCAGATTGGTAGGAAATTAAGTAAAACAGCAGTACAAATAGATCTAATTTTAACCACTTTAAGAATGTCAAAAGTTTGAGTTTTCATATTCCTACTTTAACATAGGGTAGTTCAACATAAAGTCCGAGGCTGGTGTTTATTTTGTATCTTATTTATCTTTTTTAATAAAGATATGATTGAGAATACTTAAGTGTGTATGAAATGGTTTGTGGCATTCTTTAAGTATCTGGTAGAAAAGTGGCTATTGATAGGGCTCTGAGGGAGCCTGGGCAAATCAGATTTTCAGGGTCCTTTATCTCAAAAAATGTTTCGCCTGTCTTTTCTGGGCCTCTATCCCCTCTCCTGCAAAACCTAATTTACTCTGATTTTAGGGAGAATTCTGTATTCCTGAAATCATGTCTTATTTGTGTTTCCGTTAGGAAGAAGGGTAATATCCGGAACATTTCTCAAGATACATGCTTTGATTTTATCTCAATAATAGATGCCTTTGAGTGCTGGAACTGTGTGCTGTAGTTTCCATATATAACATCTCCTCAAAAGAACTGTGTGGAGTAATGGATGGTGTTGTACTTTGCAACAAGCACTTGGGCTTAATGACTCTTAGTTTGCTCAAGGCCCAAGTTCAAAGTGCTGGAGCCAGGAAAGCTGGTCTTCTGCGATTTCTTCCGCTAACAGGAACCTGGAGCATGCCCTCAGTCTTTACCAAATTCACCATCAACACCTGAAGATGATACTTGTGGCCCACATTCTTAAGCACTCTCTGGTCTTCCAGCCTTGTGGGATGCTTCTAACAAGATTGACTATACAAAAAAAAAAAAATTAAATGCCATTCCCTAAGTATATAAGAATTCTGGACTAAAATATACGACAAATAGGACAGAGTGCTATGATTGTGTTTGTTTCTTTAAATAATGTTTTCTAGTTCCTCCTTTGGAGTTTATCTCTCAAATTTAATCTCTAATCTAGGTTTATGACTTTATGGCCCCGTTAAAAAAATTATAAATAAAGATATTTTTTTCTAAAATAGATGATGATTCTCAGGAAATTCCTCCACTTGCTCCGATTTATGGGAGGGGTGGAGGGTGACCTGCTTGGGCAACAGGACCCGAGCCCCTGAGCCCTGGAAGCACACCCTCCACTGTGAGCATCTTAATGGAATGGATAGCCTGTCTCATCGGCTTGAATGTGTGATTCGGGAGGACAATGGACTTCCTGTTCTTTTTCGTCACCGATTCCACATAGAAAATGGTAAATTACTGGACTTTTACAAGCTCACCTGACACTCTAAAATTTCATTTCCAAAGCTCTGAAGAGATATATAGACTTTGCAGTGTCTTCCATTCCTTAGATTCCATTTTTCTGGCAGACAAAATGAAAATATTCCCAGCTCCAAGCACACAATCTGCAAAAAAAACGGGTCTGGGGCTGGGGGTTGGGAGACTGGGGGGTGCAGGGGTTCACGGCCCGTGCGCATGCTCCTTATCCAACCCACCCCGCCCCCCCAACCTGGGGCCCCGGGGACCGGCTGCTAAGGCGCCTGCGTGCTGGGGAGGTCCGCCCGCAACTGCGGGCGGGAAGCCAGCCGCAGAACCCGGATGGAAGCCCAGCGCGGCTGGGGCGGAGGTGGTTGCGGGCGCTTCTGTGTCACTCCTCTCCGGAGGTTCCTGCTCCTAGGTCGCACCTAAGGAACCACTGCCTAGAATGGTTCAGGCGGCCAGGGGCTAGGCCCCAGCCTGAGCGGAAAGTGGCCTAGACCCCGAAACAGGCTTCTAAAAGGATCCTGAGCATCCTTGGGGCCTGCGCCTGGGGCTCGGAGAAGGGCGGGTGGAGACAGAGCCAAGTCTTCCTTCGTCGCCACCGGCGCCCAATGCACCCTGGGGCTGCCTCCTAAGCGTCCTTAATAACACCAGCAGGTCCTTGCTGCCAGTTACGAGCTGCGTGTGCCTTTCACGCATGCTCATAAATAAACATCCCAACGACCCTATCAGGTAGGTGCTATTGTCATCCTCAGTTGAGGAATTGGGACTTGGAAAGGTCCCAGTCTGTAAGTGACAAAGCCAGAATCACAGGCTTTTGTGTCTGGAGCGTTTGCTCGTCCCTTTTATCCTGGCTATCTGCTTTTCATTATAAACTGCAGTGATTAAATCCGCTGCCTGCCTGGGCACCCGCACCTGATACAGGATAGACAGAAGTAGAATTTGGAGTTTTAGGTTTGCAACTGCACTTGGGTGTTGTCATTGCTGAAATGTATATGTGTTAGCATTCCCCAAGTATTTGTTGTGGGGATGTTCACTTCTAACTTTTTTTTATGTCAATTTCATAGCTACCCTTGTACTTTATCAACTTGCAAAAACATTCTGCTTTGTTATATCAGATTTTGCATCCTAAGATGCCTTCAAAAGAATCATTCTAAAAAAGAATGGCATCTATCTTAACAAGATACTGCTTTTTGTTTGCTTATTTGACTGTGTATTGTGGAAAGTTTCCGGCATACATAAAAATAGAAAATAGAGTATGTGTACCCATCATCCATTTTTAACAGTTAACATCTCAGGGCCGATCTTATTTCTTTTATCTCCACCCCACTTTTGGTGTGTGTGCGCGCGTGTGTGCTGGAGTTCACTATATCAAAGGAAACCCCCGGCATCTCATCCCTTCACTTGTAAATAGTTGAGTCTGTATTTCTAGTAAGTGAGGGCTTTTTTTCAAAGACAGCCATGCCATTATTACACCTGTTTAAATAGACAATGTTTCCAGACTATGATGATGCTTTTTCAATATTTATATGTTTTAGAATATTGTGACTACTAACAACCACAAAGGAGAAAGTGGAAATTGCGAGGTTCTAAAACACAAGAAAGCTTTTTGGGTAGTAAGTTTATCTTTGAACACTGGTGACAGGAATAGTTGTGTTTCTCCTAAGCAACTTGTTTTGCTTTTCTATTTAGACAGTATGAATCATGGGCTGACAGTGTGTTACACTTTAGCAGCAGGAAACTCTGAGCCATATTTGTATTCTACTTCTGTGTCAAGGGTGTTTTAATCAGACCTGTTTGAAATTCTCTGCTTAGGTTGCAGTCAAAGCCCCAACCTAAGGATCAAATAGTTTTGCAGTCCTGTTTAATCCTTAATTATTGGGTTGGCTAAAAAGTCCATTTCACTTTTTTCTGTAAAATAAAAGGCACATTTTTCATTTTCACCAAAAACTTTACTGATTTGACCATTTTGACTATGTTGTCTATCTCCTGCTGTTTGGCCTCTAGTGAGCAGAGGCCAGGGGTGCTGCTGAACACCTTCTGATGCATAAGACAGGCCCACAGCAAAGAAGTATTTGGCCACAGTATCAATAGTACCAAGAAACTGCACAAACCACTTTTGACACGTTCAATTGGTGTCACAGCACCTTCTCCATATGCTGCACAAATCTCTTTTTTTTTGCATTTCAGTTGCGTTTTTACCTTTCTTGAAATAATAAAGCATAATATGCTAAAAAATGTGTATCTTCTCCCATCTTCAATATTGAAATCATTGCACAAAAGTTCACCAATTTTGCTGTTCTTTTTTTAGTGCATACTGATATGACAGCTGCTACAATACAATCCAACAAAATTGTTTTGAATGTAGTCAAAGACAAGCACCACTACGGCCATCATACCAATAAAACTAAACGAACTCTTTGGTCAACCCCATAGTAAAAAGAACTAGCCACTCTGCCAAAGTACCTGCCCTTCCTTATTGTAATTAGTGAATTATTTCCTTCTCTATTCAGGGCTTCATACCAGGGGCTGTGCATACATTATTGGCCTGGGATGGAAGGAGGGGATGGTAGTGAGATGCCCCTGCTGGGCATCAAAATGTACCATATTTGTTCAGAACATATATCTTTCAAAGCAAATTAAGCCGTAACTGCAATTCACCAGTAGAGGACTTAAGAGTATTCACAACTTGCGTAAACCTAAATCGCCCACATAGATCTTGCTGGACTTAAGCTGTGAGTTTCTAGCTTCATGTCGGAATGTCATGCTATTGGAATGGCTTACTTTGAACTGATATCTTAACAGGCTATTTCTTCACATGAACACAAATGACAGGATGGTATATGATGTGGCTTTGTTTTAGTTTGGTTAGCCACTGATTTTTTATTTTGTCTTTTTGTTTGTTTGTTTTTTGAGCCACTGACTTTTAATGTGTGGGTTATATTTTATTCCCAAAGCAAAATTCTGCAGCATCTCTGGAATACCACCTGAAAATCGCAGGGTGCCATGTCGAAGAAACGCAAATGGGATGATGACTATGTTCGTTACTGGTTCACCTGTACGACGGAGGTTGATGGAACTCAACGCCCACAGTGCGTCTTGTGTAACTCGGTATTTTCAAATGCTGACCTCAGACCATCAAAACTCTCTGACCATTTTAACAGACAGCATGGCGGTGTCGGTGGGCATGATCTCAGTAGCCTGAAGCATATGCCAGCACCATCTGATCAGAGCAAAACCTTCAAAGCTTTTGGAGTTGCATCTCAAGAGGATGCCTTGTTACAAGCCTCCTATCAGTTTGCATATTTATGTGCCAAGGAGAAGAATCCTCATACAATAGCTGAAAAACTAGTGAAACCCTGTGCATTGGAAATAGCACATATAGTTTTGGGTCCAGATGCACAGAAGAAGCTTCAGCAGGTACCCTTATCAGATGATGTGATCCATTCGAGAATTGATGAGATGAGCAAAGATATCCTACAGCAAGTTCTAGAAGACATCAAAGCCAGTCCTCTTCAGGTGGGTATTCAGCTTGCTGAGACGACAGACATGGACGACTGCAGTCAGCTGATGGCGTTTGTGCGCTACATAAAAGAAAGAGAGATCATAGAAGAGTTTCTATTCTGTGAACCATTGCAGTTAACCATGAAAGGAAAAGATGTGTTCAGTGTCTTCAGAGACTTCTTTCTGAAGCATAAGATAGGGCTGGATGTATGTGGCTCTGTTTGTACTGATGGTGCCTCATCTATGCTTGGAGAAAATTCAGAATTTGTTGCTTGTGTGAAAAAAGAGGTACCTCACATTGTGATTACACATTGTTTGTTGAACCCTCACGAACTTGTCACGAAGACATTGCCTACAAAACTGAGGGATGCTCTGTTTACTGTCGTGAGGGTAATAAATTTCATCAAAGGGCGAGCTCCCAATCA